TGTCGAAAGCCTTTTTTAGGTCCAGATAGATGCAGTCAACCCAGCCATCTCTTTCCTGTAATATCTCTGTGGCCCGATCATAGAAACTGAGTAAATTCGATACACAGGATCTTCCTGATCGAAAACCATACTGTCTGTCTGATATTATATCATTTCTCTCCAGGTGTTCTACCCATTTAGTTTTGATTAGCTTTTCCAATACTTTCACTATTACACTTGTCAATGATACAGGTCTATAATTGAGGGGGTCTTCCCTGCTGCCACTTTTGTAGATTGGAACTATGTTAGCCTGTTTCCACACGTCTGCTACGATTCCTGTACACAGGGATGCCTGAAAGATCAGGTGAAGTGGAATGCTGAGCTCAGATGCACATTCTCTCAGAACCCATGGTGAAACGCCATCTGGGCCAGCTGCTTTGTTCCTCCCGAGCTCCTTTAGCATATTTTCCACTTCATCTCTAGACACCTCTATCCGCTCTATGTTGTTCTCTGGAATTCTTATTGTGTCTGGTTCTCTGAAGATTTCATTTTGTACAAACACACTTTGGAACTTTTCATTTAATGTTTCACACATTTCCTTTTCATTTTCCGTGAATCTGTTTCCCATTTTCAACCTCTGGATATTATCCTTTACCTGCAATTTGTTGTTTATGAATTTGTAGAATAGGCCCGGTTCTGTTTTACATTTATCTGCTATCCCTTTTTCAAAATTTCTTTCTGCCTCTCTCCTTACTGCTGTATAGTGTGTGCGTGTGTGTGTGTCTGTGTGTCTGTGTGTGTTTACTAGTTGTGTTTTTGCGGGGGTTGAGCTTTGCTCTTTCGGCCCGCCTCTCAACTGTCAATCAACTGTTTACTAACTACTTTTTTTTTTTTTTTTTCCACACACACACACCAGGAAGCAGCCCGTGACAGCTGACTAACTCCCAGGTACCTATTTACTGCTAGGTAACAGGGGCACTTAGGGTGAAAGAAACTTTGCCCATTTGTTTCTGCCTCGTGCGGGAATCGAACCCGTGCCACAGAATTACGAATCCTGCGCGCTATCCACCAGGCTACGAGGCACACGTGTGTGTGTAATTACCTAAGTGTAATTACCTAAGTGTAGTTACAGGATGAGAGCTACGCTCGTGGTGTCCCGTCTTCCCAGCACTCTTTGTCATATAACGCTTTGAAACTACTGACGGTCTTGGCCTCCACCACCTTCTCACTTAACTTGTTCCAACCGTCTACCACTCTATTTGCGAAGGTGAATTTTCTTATATTTCTTCGGCATCTGTGTTTAGCTAGTTTAAATCTATGGCCTCTTGTTCTTGAAGTTCCAGGTCTCAGGAAGTCTTCCCGGTCGATTTTATCAATTCCTGTTACTATTTTGTACGTAGTGATCATATCACCTCTTTTTCTTCTGTCTTCTAGTTTTGGCATATTTAATGCTTCTAACCTCTCCTCGTAGCTCTTGCCCTTCAGTTCTGGGAGCCACTTAGTAGCATGTCTTTGCACCTTTTCCAGTTTGTTGATGTGCTTCTTAAGATATGGGCACCACACAACAGCTGCATATTCTAGCTTTGGCCTAACAAAAGTCATGAACAACTTCTTTAGTATATCGCCATCCATGTATTTAAATGCAATTCTGAAGTTAGAAAGCATTGCATAGGCTCCTTGCACAATATTCTTAATGTGGTCCTCAGGTGATAGTTTTCTATCTAGAACCACTCCTAGATCTCTTTCTTTATCAGAATTCTTTAAAGATTTCTCACATAATATATAGGTTGTGTGGGGTCTATGTTCTCCTATTCCACATTCCATAACATGACATTTATTAACATTAAATTCCATTTGCCAAGTGGTGCTCCATATACTTATTTTGTCCAGGTCTTCTTGAAGGGCATGACAATCATCTAAATTTCTTATCCTTCCTATTATCTTAGCATCATCAGCAAACATGTTCATATAATTCTGTATACCAACTGGTAGATCATTTATGTACACAATAAACATCACTGGTGCAAGAACTGAACCCTGTGGTACTCCACTTGTGACATTTCTCCATTCCGATACATTGCCTCTGATTACTGCCTTCATTTTTCTATCAGTCAGAAAATTTTTCATCCATGATAGAAGCTTACCTGTCACCCCTCCAATATTTTCCAGTTTCCAGAACAACCTCTTATGTGGAACTCTGTCGAAAGCCTTTTTTAGGTCCAGATAGATGCAGTCAACCCAGCCATCTCTTTCCTGTAATATCTCTGTGGCCCGATCATAGAAACTGAGTAAATTCGATACACAGGATCTTCCTGATCGAAAACCATACTGTCTGTCTGATATTATATCATTTCTCTCCAGGTGTTCTACCCATTTAGTTTTGATTAGCTTTTCCAATACTTTCACTATTACACTTGTCAATGATACAGGTCTATAATTGAGGGGGTCTTCCCTGCTGCCACTTTTGTAGATTGGAACTATGTTAGCCTGTTTCCACACGTCTGCTACGATTCCTGTACACAGGGATGCCTGAAAGATCAGGTGAAGTGGAATGCTGAGCTCAGATGCACATTCTCTCAGAACCCATGGTGAAACGCCATCTGGGCCAGCTGCTTTGTTCCTCCCGAGCTCCTTTAGCATATTTTCCACTTCATCTCTAGACACCTCTATCCGCTCTATGTTGTTCTCTGGAATTCTTATTGTGTCTGGTTCTCTGAAGATTTCATTTTGTACAAACACACTTTGGAACTTTTCATTTAATGTTTCACACATTTCCTTTTCATTTTCCGTGAATCTGTTTCCCATTTCCAACCTCTGGATATTATCCTTTACCTGCAATTTGTTGTTTATGAATTTGTAGAATAGGCCCGGTTCTGTTTTACATTTATCTGCTATCCCTTTTTCAAAATTTCTTTCTGCTTCTCTCCTTACTGCTGTATAATTGTTTCTCGCATCTTTGTATCGCTGGTATGTTTGGGGGTTTGGCCTCTTCCTATACTGATTCCATTTTTGTGTCTTTTGGTCTCTTGCCCTCTCACAATTTCTGTCGAACCAATCCTGTTTTTTGGTCCTGCATCTCTGTTTTGGTATGAATGTTTGTGTGCCTTCCTCGTATAGTTTTAAAAATTTGGCATACATTTCATTTACTTCCCTGCCTAGCAACAATTCTGTCCAATTACACTCATTAAAAAAATTTCGAAGTTCCCCATAGTTGCCTCTCTTTAAATCGAGTTTATCAACTGTTTCAATGTCCCCATTTTCTTCTAGATGATATCTTAAAGCATATTTAATGTCTAACAGGATGTGATCACTCTTTCCCAAGGGAGGAAGGTACTGGATGTCAAAAATCTCTTCTTCTTTCCTGGTGAATACTAGATCCAGTACTGACGGTATATCTCCTTCCCTCATTCTTGTGGCTTGCTTTATGTGTTGATACAAGAATGTCTCCAGAATGAGGTTCACAAATCTGCATGTCCAAAAGTCCTCCGTTCTTGCTTCATAGGCCTCCCAGTCTATTGCTCTAAAGTTGAAGTCCCCCAGTATCAACAGTCGTGATTTATCTTTATCTGCTTGTACAATAATATCTCTCATGACCATTATGAGGCCCTCTCGTTTGTCATCCAGTTCTTCCTTTGTCCACGTGTTGCTTGCTGGTGGGCTGTAGGTATTTACAATTATCAGGTTATCATCCTGATTCCAGACCTGCAATGCCATTATGTCAATATCTCGAGGGTTTTCAAATATTAACTCTTTTACCTTCAGGTGTTTTTTCACCAGTACAGCCACTCCTCCTCCCTTCCTAGTTTTCCTGTCACGTGTGTGTGTGTGTGTGTGTGTGTAATTACCTAAGTGTGTGTGTGTGTGTAATTACCTAAGTGTGTGTGTGTACTCACCTATTTGTACTCACCTATTTGTGCTTGCGGGGGTTGAGCTTTGGCTCTTTGGTCCCGCCTCTCAACTGTCAATCAACTGGTGTACAGATTCCTGAGCCTACTGGGCTCTATCATATCTACTTTTAAAACTGTGTATGGAGTCAGCCTCCACCACATCACTGCCTAATGCATTCCATCCGTTAACTACTCTGACACTGAAAAAGTTCCTTCTAACGTCTCTGTGGCTCATGTGGGTACTCAGTTTCCACCTGTGTCCCCTTGTTCACGTCCCACCAGTGTTGAATAGTTTATCCTTGTTTACTCGGTCGATTCCTCTGAGGATTTTGTAGGTTGTGATCATGTCTCCCCTTACTCTTCTGTCTTCCAGTGTCGTAAGATGCATTTCCCGCAGCCTTTCCTCGTAACTCATGCCTCTTAGTTCTGGGACTAGTCTAGTGGCATACCTTTGGACTTTTTCCAGCTTCATCTTGTGCTTGACAAGGTACGGGCTCCATGCTGGGGCCACATACTCCAGGATTGGTCTTACATATGTGGTGTACAAGATTCTGAATGAGATTCTGTGTGTGTGTGTGTGTGTGTGTGTGTGTGTGTGTGTGTGTGTGTGTGTGTGTGTGTATGTATATATATATATATATATATATATATATATATATATATATATATATATATATATATATATATATATATATATATATATATATCTCACTGATTCTATAACTAATTCTAACACTAATTCTAACAACTAAAGTGCACAGGTTTCCAATCACTAACGGTGTGTCTAAATACACACGGCTTGGTTTAGCATCACGCATAGTATGGGTATAGCACATAGAAATACGGTAAATATCATTTTCCAGCTGACAGCTTATGGGAATTTCTTAAAATATGACATTAACTTTTGTTTAGTATTTTGAGGTATTAAAACACATTTGACTACCACTTACTAATGGGGTTTAGGGAACTCTCTTTTATTTGGCAGTTTGGAATGAATGCTTATGCCATCACATCTTTCTTTCAAAATAAAGCACATAACTTTGGGAAGTACTTGGAGGGTGTGCGTGTGTGTGTGACTATCGAGGAAATGTGTGTTTTACCCTTGTCTTACCATTTCTGCATGTTCTCCTACAGCTTAATGGTGGTGGGTGAGTCCTCATCAACTCGTGGTGATCACCACTTCCCTTCCCTCCCAGACCAGAGCCGGGTATCGCGAACTCTCAACGACTCTGATCACCGTCTCGTGTGGGTTTAATTCTTGCTATGTGGAAATGGTACAATTTTTTATTACTGGCACTTAAGCTTCTTGCAGTGTATGAGATGATGCATTGAGCTTTCATGGTGATTTGTGGTAAACATGCTTTATGACGGGGAACGTAATCTCTCGCTGGAGTTCTCGTTACTTTAATTAGTTTTTTATATTTTTTCTTTCTATTTCACTCATGAATGGTTCATGAGGCATTCATGGTTGTATATTTTCAGTAGTGTGAGTGCAAGTCCTGATGGTACGTGACCCATTTGTGGTCACACACTTCTTCAATAGTGAGTGTGCACACGTCCTGAAAGTCCATTTCTGGGCCAATACAGTAGGTAATCGATGGCATTAGAGCTTATATAACACGCTTTGAAAATATAAAACTTTATTTTAATTGAGTTTGTATTTCCTCATACTTTTAGTGTAATAAATTTTAAAGTTTATGTAAAGGGGACAGATTTTACCAGCAAATGAACCATACTTTAAGAGCATAATTACTTAGTTTATTGTATTGTAAAGTATAATCATTTATTTATGCTGGTAATGTTTGCTGTAGCTGATGCATTTATGTATTTAGACATCCAACCCACACAACTGAAAGGCGAATGAAACTGGTCCATCTTGTCGCTCGCTGTTTCTTTTCATATTGGCATCTTTGGGAATATTTAGCACCTTTTGAGTATTCTTTGACACAGTGCTACATAATCTTCCTGACTTAGTGCCTTCTTTTGATAATTACTGTAATTACTAGGTTTGTTCTGGACCATTATAGAGTCCAGTATGGACCAAAACATTGTCACTTTCTTTATTTTCAGATCTGTGGGTTGGGTGTCTAATTTCCAGCCATGTTATTGTGACTTAATGTCTGCACTTGATGTACTTGTTTCATGCATATATATATTAGCCCTTTAGGTAAGGTCATATTACTTGTCTTGCGTCTTTCTGCTCTATTGTTATCCTGTGTGATATTTAGGGTCTTTTGAAGATCCAGCGACACAGTGCTCCATAGTCTTCTCGGCTTGGTGGCTTCTTTTGTTAATTGGTTACGTTTCAGTAAGAAGCTGGATTTACCATCAAATTAAATTTAAAAGAGATTTGTACTTATCCTGGTGTATTGGTATACAAATTATACCAAGATAGCTTCTTATATTGGTCTTGGTTTCAGGTTTACATTTGAGTAGAGAAATTTCTTAAGATATTGCCTACCTTTCTTAGTATATTTTTGTACCAACTTAAGTGCCAGAAAAGCTTGTAGGTTCATCCTGGAAGTTGAAAGAATAATATTGCCAACAAGATAAATAGTTTAGCTTTTTTTTTTTTTTAGGACTTGTAACTTTCTTAGTTTTTATAAAAAAAACATAAGTACAATACAGTGCAACCTTGTTTATTCGGGCATAAATTATTTGAATTCCTGCTTAGTCTGCAAGAAATACAATCTTAGTACAGTGCAACCTTGATTTAGTATACAATATTGAACCAACCCTGATTTGTTACATTCAGAGACACGCTTCAACTGAATAATTCACAAGAAAAAGTCATTGCTATGCCTGCTTCTCCTAATGTTTCATTTGACTACAAAAAATTTTAAAATATGATTTAGAGCCATATTAAAGAAGTTACCATTTATAATCCAATTATGCCCCCTCATTCTATGGGCTAATTTCATGGAGCAAAATTTTAATTTGAAACTATTATATTATGAAGAACTGGCAGGAGAGCTTATTTCCCACACCCCGGCCTTCAAACTTTGTTTATAAATGTAGCACGGACAGTGCCTGGTAACCGAAAACCACACCAACTCAAACTGAAAATAATCCATAGAATTTTGTTTTAAATATGTTTAATGGCTTTTCCAAAGCTGCTTCTATCAACAAAAATCATCACAAAAAAAGGACAAATTGGGGGGAAGGGGGGGGGGGCTTTTGACAAACCACCAGCTTCCTCTCTTTGTCAAGGCCACTAGAGAAATAGTGGCTCTTAAGTAAATTCAATTTACCAATTATATTATAATTTTTCCTATGCTCTAGGTGTGAATTTCAATAGATCATATGATGGACAACTTCTTGGAGAACCTATCTGTAAAGAGGTTTCGCCCTCATTGCCAGTACGTTTTAGGATTCTACCCCATTAAGTCTCTTATTTTATATGTAGGACCATGACCTCTTGTGTTTTTATGTACTATATATATTCAACCCATCTACACTCTTTTATCCTATTTAAAGTTAGAAACAATTTAATCAGGGATTTGTGTTGTCAGATGTAAATACTGTAACAGAACATTGTGTGTAACGAGTGATGAAGAACCTAGCTCTGTTGGAGTGAGTTAGACAGTTATGCCGACTCTACTAAAAATGGTAAATATTGGCAGAAAACAATGTTTTCATCACCTTCAGCATGAAATAAACATATCTAAGATGTCTCGCCTTAAAACAATAGAAGGTAGAACTATTGTGCTTTTAACATTTTAAATCCACAAATGATGTGTTAAAAGTTATGGGGTATTAAAATACCAACTTGCTAGCAAGGAAGGCACCCGCCAAACACACACCGAAACTACGAAGTTGATACAACGTTCGAACAAATTTTAACACCTAACCAGTTATACGAACCTATATAGCAAGTTGTAACAACGTTCTAATACGTCATAAACACGTTAAGCCAAGATGTAACAACTTTATTACAAGTTGTAACAGCGGAAAATAGAAACAGTTTCGGTTTGTGTTTCCAGGGCATTGTGAGAGGTGAGCAGCAACATGTAGGTGACCTCACACTGCTCACTATTTTTTATCTTTGTTCTTCATCATAAACAGTGTAATATATTAAGTATAGGTAAACAGTTTTGTAATGTAATAGCTTTAAATCACATACGAAATTTGCATCAGGTAATGTGTGTGTGTTGTCACTTTCACAGGCAAGACATATTTTGGGCGTTACCAACAGCTAGATAATGTTTACATTGTTCTGTGGAACAAATATATTGACGTTTATACCATCCTAAACAATGTGAAAGATGACAGAAACAAACTGATTATTAACATGGGAATTGTAACACATACATTTTACATATATGGAAATTTTTGGCTATATGTCCACATGGAAGAATTGTGGAAAGAGAGATTGCGATGGACAACGACGCCTCACTGTCACTGCCAATTACATCCACCCTTACCTCCAACCTCTTTTGATTCGTACATAATCAACCCATCTATACTATTTTACCATAAAAATTTGAAATATTAGTTATGGTTTTGTAATGCTTTTTATTAACATAAAAAAATTGCATATGATAACTGTTGGTTGTTATCTCGAAAAGCTATGTAATATTTACATCATTCTCTGTACCAAATAAACATATCTATCCTTTCCTAAATAACGTGTAAAGTGAGGGAAATGTAATATGTACAGTATTAATGTGAGAAATGTGCATGAAACTCCCTCACCGCAAGCCTTACTAAGCCCCTCTCGTTTAACTAAATATTTTGATACATTGTCTTGCACATATTACACACATTAGTCCAGATAAACAAGGTTGTACTTTACAGACATGTTGTAATTGTAATACACAAAATTAGTATGCTGTTCTCATTACGTTTTGCACTGTGCAGTGCTGATATTGTTCTGCAGTGAAGCCTGCAACTCTTAATCACTTTTAGCCATATTTATATGAGCAACATATATTAAATCACTGTAGCTAGAGTAGCTTAGTTTCTGAATATATTATAAGTCATTAGTAGGACAACCCATCCTCCTGTTTAGATAGTACCTATGATGACTGTCGTCAATAGTCACAAATTCGTACGTACTTAGCTTTTAGATACAGTAGTAGTATGCTGACTAGTAAGGAATTCTTTGAAAATATATGAAGCTAAAAAAAAAACTGAAATATTCCTAGGCCTAATATAGCGCACATGTACTATATTAGGCCTCAGATATTGTGTATTAGGCCTAGGAAGGTTAGGTTAGTTTAGTTTGTTAAAGCAACACAAGTAAAAAATTGTTTTCTGGTTTGTCTAACTCAATAGTTTAGAATTCTAATTTCTAATTTCGTTGTACGTCGGTATATATACTGTGGTCCTCATCATTACTATAAGTACTACCAAAGCAGGAGGATGGGGCTGAATAAGAATTGGTTGAATTAGCAAGTCAAGATCTGATTTTATTGTCTATTGTACTATGTGAAATTAATTATGGAACTGCTTGAATGGGTGCGGTAAAACTCTATCCCAAGTAAGATTGGAGTATGGGAAAATGTTTGAGAAACACGGTGGGAGCAAAGTCTTGCGTCTGGCCTTCCCACACCACGAGAACTACCAACACGGTCCCACCATATTGCTCCATAGTTTATCGTTGATATATCATGCTATTGTGATTTCACTTAGCTTATAGTATGTGCTTTATTTGTCGTGCTCATCTGACCCAGTTCCTGTCACAACACCAAAGATCGATATATTGTAGGCATCTGGTGCAGTTTTAAATAGTCAGGCCTTAAGAGGCATTTATTAACTTAAGAAATAACCATAATTCCAATGATCTGTTCAAGAAATGTTTGTAAGGTGCTACGTATCAGTCACGTAATGGTCATTTTTGGGTTTTGTATAAATTCATCAAACGTCTTGTACATTGCAGTTGTGTGCATCATTAAGAAAGTAATAAGGAAGTATAAAAAGAGTAATAAGGATGTATAAGAGGTCAAATTATCCATGTTGCTATATGTTAGAAGTACTATTGACGTTACAGCATACGTAATGTTTGCAACATATCAAGCTTTAATTGGTTTTCTGCAGGGTACTGTGAAGCAGGTACAGTATATAATACGTATTCAAGTTTTCTGTGGTGAAATTAACAGAGCCTTTGTACATGCTAACATTTAATATAGGTATTTTATTTGATCAATTTATATGTACATACAATTGCCATCATATGTTCCTTAGTCGAATTCAGGGGGTGGAGTTTCTAATATAGGCATGTTACCCTAACTTAACAAGTTGTACATGTATTTCCATCATGTCCTACACTCGGGAAATTGTTGAGTTTGTCATATTCAAAAGATTTGTAAAGTTTTTGTATGGAACTTGTTCTTTCATAATGTTTTTGTATGGAAAATGTTTTTTAATGTTTAATAAACATTACATGTAAGTGTTCTTAATTTTGAAATTTATTTCATGTTTTCTGTTGCATTAGTGCATATATAACCTTGTAGTTGGTTAACCTTGTAGTTGGTTAACCTTGTAGTTGGTTTTGAGTATAAGCCGTCACGTGAAAACTAATGAATTTTATGGTGTGTTGTGTGGAAGTGTGCATGTACACACCTGCAAATGCATGCAATATCATTGTCAGGGTTTATTGTTGACCAAACCACACACTAGAAAGTGAAGAGACAACGACATTTTTCAGTCACGTTATTGTGACACTTCATATGCATCAGGCTTTAGTGTCCTGACTAGAATTATATCCAGTGTCAAATTATCAACAAGAATGCTGGAGATGACCAGATCACACACTAGAAGGTGAAGGGATGAAGACGTTTCGGTTCGTCCTGGACCATTCTCAAGTCGATTGTTTCTCAATCGTTTCTCCATTCTCAATTGACTTGAGAATGGTCCAGGACGGACCGAAACATCGTCGTCCCTTCACCTTCTAGTGTGTGGTCTGGTCATCATACTTTAGCCACGTTATTGTGACTCATCGAGTGCACAAGAATGCTGGAAGTACTGTATTTGTATAAATATTTTGCTCCTGTTTTTTTTTAATAAGCAGAGCAGTAATGTTTTGTGTTTAGTTTGTGTATTGGTGTGGCTGGCTAAAATGTTGCATGTCAAATGCTAATGTGCAGATGTTAGATTGTGTAAGCCAACTCGCACACATGAATGAGACCAGGCACAACTTGAGGAGGATCTAAGACGACTCGTAAAGTCATCACTTTCATTTTATTTAATTTCATATGTGTGGGGTTGGGTTATTTCTTCCAACCATGTTATTGTGACTTATTCTCTGCAATTTAGATGATTCTTTTCACTATGATCTGGCAAAATATTATAATTGACTATCAGAGCAATTTGCTGCTACATAGTCTTCCCAGCTTGATGCTTTCTTTTGATAATTACTTCCAACAATTAGCATGACAAATTTTAAAGTTATATGTGCTGTGAATTAGACCAATGGCTTCCAACCTTTTCTATGCTCCAGCACTCTTTGATGCGTGCACTTTTCTCAAAGGACCGGCTACTACTCTTCCCCAGGATGCATCCCATAACAATTGCTTCACTCCCAGATATCTATTCACTGCTAGGTGAGCTGAGGCATCTGGTGAAAGGAAACATGCCCACCCATTTATATCATGCCCGGGAATCAAATCTGGGATCTCCGATTGTGATTCAAGTACATTAACCCCTGAACTACAGGACGACGTTTTGAAAATCACACCAGGTTTCTGAGAGTTGCAATAACCTGCCAGAATTGAAATCTCCCTCTGATGTGTGAGGAGCCTGGGGTAACAAATCTACCAACAAATGAGAGAGAGGTTGAAGAATGAGCATCCAAAGGCCTGTTCATTGAAAGTTTACCTATTTAGCTGTATGTTCATGTTTTAATTGTGCCCGAGTCTGATCCTTGTGTATAATTTACCGATAATGCTTCCCTTACGCCTGGCTCGCCTACTTGTTTGTGTAATGGTCTGGGCGACCAGTACCTTTTGTCCCTGGAAGGTTTATTTATTTTGTATGTTAGTCGGGTCATGATGACTTTTTTGGTCAATTCTGTATTAGACTTTGCTGCTTGCAAAGTCTGCTTTGCAGCTACATGGGTTGCACTTAAAAGTTCTTAAATGTTGTTGGTTTTCCTATTGCCATTGTCATTTTCCTGTTTGCTGCAGAGCCACCATATTTCGTCTTTTATGGTTTCAGCTTGGGTCTTTTGCCCTTGTGGCAGCTACTGTGGGCCTACTGTCATTTATTGTTTGGATTCGGGCGATTTCTGGGTTGTGAGCAACTTGGCAAGTTGGGATCTGACTGGGTCTTCTTGCCTTACAATCTCTGGCACACAATGCTCTTGCTTTTGTGAGTAATATGGACTTGACTTGTTTGCAAACACCATAACCAGCACATAATGTGTGTTTTACTTCAAAGTCCTATTAGCAGACGTAGAACTTTTCGTTCCCATAGCTCATGTTAAGTCTTACCCAACTAGTTTTCTCTGGAACTCGACCTGCCAATTGGTTTACAACCAGGTTCCCACTTACTTTTGAGTGATCAGGGGGTGAACAGTTAAGTACTGACCCAGAGTCAATCCTCCCTGGCCAGGGCTCAAACCCAGATGCAATCATTATTAAAACATAGGGCAAGTGTGTTACCACTACACTGGATTGCATCGGTTCAGGTACTGTGGTGCCCCAGCTCATGAATTTGCAGGTGTAGACAGTGGTCTTGGGTTTTGATGGTGTCTTGGAAACCTACCTTTGAACTTTTAGCTCCTTAGTGTTGTGATAGGTTTCTACTGACTTGGCTTCGGATGCATCACATAGGGTTATTTACCTGCTTCAAACAATGCAATTTGTATTATTTGCCTCAGGGTTACCTTGAGGTTACCTTGAGATGATTTCGGGGCTTTTTAGTGTTCCCGCGGCCCGGTCCTCGACCAGGCCTCCACCCCCCAGGAAGCAGCCCGTGACAGCTGACTAACACCCAGGTACCTATTTTACTGCTAGGTAACAGGGGCATAGGGTGAAAGAAACTCTGCCCATTGTTTCTTGCCGGCACCTGGGATCGAACCTAGGACCACAGGATCACAAATCCAGCGTGCTGTCCGCTCGGCCGACCGGCTCCTCAAAGGGTTCATCCATTCCTTTGAGCATTTTCTTGTTTTGTTCCCCCTATATTTTGTTAGGTATATTCTCAGTGTTGGGTAGCTCTCTGAACTTCAGGCTCCCCCTTGTTTGGTAGAAAGAGCCAGATTGTGGTCCTGGCTCCTGGTAAGTTAGCATGGGGGGGTCTCGGAGACCTTGTATGACTCCAAAGGCTTGGCTATTCCACTACTTACACTTGGGAAGCTACTGAGTAACCACCAGGAAAATCCATTTCATTACATCCAATGCTTTATATACTGTATATGCACATGTGCTACATAGTCTTTCTGGCTTTGCACCTTCATTTTGATAATTACAGTATATACGAACACTACTTTCTCCCTTTTCTTAAAGAAAGTCTTGCCACCATGTTATCAAATTCCTCATCAATTTAGGCTCTTTATTTGTTATGCCAGAAGATACATACAAGTCAATAGGTATTATGCATAATATGTACACTAATTTGTATTTATCATGCATGCAAGATTTAAATGATCCAAAATGCATTGATCCACTATTACATATTTTGAATTATAAATTGCTTTCATTTATTCATTCATTATTATTATTACCCCATTTTGAGCTTTTGTGGAGTGGAGAGGTTTCAGCCCAGAGAGAAATTAAAATAATTCATTTTAGTAAAAGGTTAAAAAAATTACATTAACCCATGTATTGTTATGAATAAACATGCAGCCCAACACTCCAGCAGTCATCCAGAGCAGCACACCACCACTTCATGAGGCCTGGTGTTGAGTGCTTCTTGTGACCTGTCATTACAGTACACACCCATTCCCTCCATACAAACCTCTACCATCCAGCCATATCATTACCATATCTCATATGACGTTCACATTCAATCCACGCTTCCTCAAGCACACAGGCAGGTAGACAGGCACAGACACAGACGCACCACGAGCGTAGCTCTCATCCTGTAACTGCACTTAGGTAATTACAGACACACACACACACACAGGCTAAGACACCATAATGCCAAGGAAAAGTGTAATAGTCAAAATATTGGAAAAAATAATTAAAACTAAATGGGTAGAACCCCTGGAGAGAAACGATATAATATCAGACCGTCAGTATGGTTTTCGATCTGGAAGATCCTGTGTAACAAATTTACTCAGGTCCTATGATTGAGTCACAGAGATTTTACAGGAAAGAGATGGTTGGGTTGACTTCATCTCTCTCAACCTAAAAAAGGCTTTCGACAGAGTTCCACATACGAGGTTGTTCTGGAAACGGGAATACATTGGAGGGATGACAAACAGGTAAGCTGCTAACATGGATGAAAAATTTTCTGACTGATAGACAAATGAGGGCAGTAATAAGAGGAAGTGTATCGGACTGGAGAAATGTCACAAGCGGAGTACCACAGAGTTCAGTTCTTGCACCGGTAATGTTCATTGTGTGTGTGTGGATTCCTGAAAATTATATACACCACCATAGATGGAGTGAAATAAAAAATATTGGAGCTGAAAGATATAATTCAGCATAAGGTCCCAGATATTGTCGCATTAACAGAGATGAAACTTGAAGAAAATATATTAAATGAAGTTGTATTCCCAAGGGGCTACTCAAATTGGAGATGTGACAGGAAAACTAGGAAGGGGGAGAGGAGTGGCTGTGCTGGGGAAAAAAACACCTGATGGTAAGAGTGTTAATACTTGATAACCCTCGAGAAGTTGAAATAATGGCATTGCAGGTCTGGAATGATAAACTGATGTTGTAAATGTCTACAGTCCACCAGCAAACAACACATGGACAAAGGAGGAACTGAATGACAAATGAGAGGGCCACATAATGGTCATAAGAGAGGTTATAGTAAAAGCAGATAAAGATAAAATCATGATTGTTGGTACTGGGGGACTTCAACGTTAAAGCAATAGACTGGGAGGCCTATGAAGCAAGAACGGAGGACATTTGGACATGCAGATTTGTAAACCTTGTTCTGGAGACATTCTTGTATCAACATGTCAAGTAGACCAAAAGAACGAGGGAAGGGGATGTTCCATCAGTACTGGATCTAATATTCACCAGGAAAGAAGAGATATCTGACATCCCTTGGGAAAGAGTGATCATACCCTGTTGGACATTAAATATGCTTTGCAATATAATTTTGAAGAGAATGAGGACATTGAAACAGTTGATAAACTCAATTTCAAGAGAGGACACTATGGGGAACATTGATTTTTTTTAACGAGTTTAATTGGACAGACTTGTTGTTAGGCAAGGAAGTAAATGAGATGTATGCCAAATTTTTTTGCTAAATATATGATGAAAGCACACAAACATTCATACCA